ATTCAACAGCAAGGTAAACATTTAAGCTAACCACAGCCAATAAACTTATTATAGTGTGAGTTTAGTATCACTGCTCTGTGTGGCACGTACGTTTTAACTAGATATTTCATTGTATACAAAACAGTTCTAATTAGTGTACTCCAGCAGTAACGGAAGACAAAAATCTAATGAGTTCACCCACTCCTTTCCTTCTCTGGCCGACAGCTTGTCATTTTTGGTCACTCTTATTATATTATCTTATAATTAATTGGCCTCTTAAAATGTCTTTAACATGGGTGACATGTTTATTCGAGCCTCATTCATGCATGCTGATCTAAATACAGCCCAACATCATTGATGGGGCTGAACTGTTGTATGCATTACTACTGCTCAGCTGTTATGGTTAATTATCAGCAATTTGTGAGCTATTAATTTGCAATTTGTGAGTTATTAATTTACAATTTTATTTTTTTAGAAAAATTTGGCAGCTACAGACAGTCAGACAAAAATAACACGAATTAAATGAAGTCTTTAGTTCAGGACTGTATTCCTCGATGAACAGTATCGGCAGAGACACTTTTTCTTTGAACTAAAGTACAAAATTAGCACATCATAAAGATTACATGATAGCAGAGAAAAAAAATTATGTACTAAAAGTACTATGCAATACTCTGTCTGTTATTGGTATTATTAGTAACACGGTAGTGTTACTAAGTAGGATTCATAACTCAAGGTATTTCACCTAAAATGACTAGGAAAAGATTTCCTAATTTTTTACTGATGCATATACATGTTCTTATGCTGTGTAGAAAGTTTGAGCTCATTCCAATCAAAATTAGATTTTTTATGAATTTTTAAAGTTGCTCCCAAAATTGCTCAAAAGTTATAGTACAGGGAAGTGGATCAAAGTTTGGCAGAAATGAATAGGAAAGTATTCTTTATTTTTATAATATTTTCTAATGCATATATGTGTACTTATATTGCCTAGAAAGTTTGAGCTAAACTGATCAAATTAGATTTTTTTACAAATTTTTGAAGTTGCTAACAAATTGGACTAAAAGTCCTGTACAGGGACTTAGACCAAATTTTGTCAAAAATAACCAGGAGAGAGTTTTTAAATTTTATATTTTTTCTGATACATAAAGATGTACTAATGTCACGTAAAAAGCACTTTGACTCATGTACATTAAGTTTGCACCAAATAGAAAAATAGTAATTAATCTTTTAAAGAAACCCAAATTATGTCTACATAATCTTACCTATCACAAGTTCCATCAAAACATTTCATCATTGTTTTACAGTATGTGTTGCATCTATAGTTCCTGGCATCGTCTACATCACATTAATAAGTATAGAACAATGTAATAAATGGGCTAATGCACAATATACCTAGTGTGATTGTTAATCCTATGCCTAATAAAGAGAGAGAGATAATGATAATAATGACAA